CCCTGATTTCCAAATGAATCCTTCCATCAATCTGTTCCAAATGAATCCCCCGTACTAGTGACAACATAACCCAATACAGGCAGCCCCCGGGTTATGAACAAGATAGGGACTGTAGGTTTCTTCTCAAGTTGAATTTGAATGCAAGTTAGAACAGGTGCATTTTTTAAAGTGTTTTGGATAGCATAGGGAAGGGTTAACCCCCTGTAAAGTTTGTTTTGCTGTGTGTGCCCCTGTTCAGAAGACTTTACCTCACTTTCTGTCCCTGTGACAATTGGATTTTGAAAATTATGGGTTGTTGTGGAAACAAGGATTGGTAATAAAGTTTCAGTGGAGACACCTTTTTCCCATGATCACTCTTACAGGAGTGAATTTCCCTTCCTAGGGGTAGATTGCCTTTCACTTCCTGTTGTCTCAAGGACAGGAAGTGAGATTAAATCTTTCTAATGCGGATACAGACAGCAGTAAAAACCTCAGTGACCCGGGAGAAGAGGCGGGCACCCTTCGCCTGCACGTCTAACAAGAGCCAACTTCCTGTAATGTACATACAGTACTACGAACCAGACCCAAAAAGGCGAGTCTAGGTGGCGAGGAAGCAAGAAGCCGGCTTTGCGACCAATCAGAAAGCCGGGCGTCGCGTCATTAAACGGCAGCTGGCTTCCTGATTAGCCAGCTTCTGACCAATCAGGAAGCTGTAATGACGCGCTGCCCGGCTTTCTGATTGGTCGGGAAGCCGGCTCCGTGCTTTCTCGTCACAAGTGGAGTCGGCAAGTAAGCCAGACAAACGCCTAGGCACCGAAGCATTTGGGCGATTACTCGCCCAAATACTTGGCATCGGCACCGATACCAGTATCGATATTGGTGCATCCCTACAGGGTATAAAGGGAAAATTGCTACAAATCTGACCATCAGGACATCAAATCTCAGTAGCCAAGAGGCCAATTCAGCTATTAAAAAAAAATAAAAAATAAAAATATGGAAGATGTTGTCTATTGGAGCCTATTTTTTTTTATATAAGGCTTCAAGTTCTAATCGACACAAAACTAATTTCTGAGCACTATTTTGCTGAGCAGAACTAAAAGATATTTGGTATGAATAAAATACATTTTTGGAGTGTGAACATGCTGCATGACTACTGCAAACACTTGAAACCATCATAACACAATGTATTGTCGGCATGGCATGTTTCTGACTACACTTCACACGTTGCAGTGTAATAGAATAGTGTAAGCATGACAGGAAGACATTCCGATCACATAAAAGCCATCACACTACTACTTGTCAACACATAAAATACATTACACATGAATGAATGCAGAATGATACACATTACACACACACACAGAACACAAAGTATACAAAGAGCCAGACCGTAAGTAGCGATCATATGTAGATAGAGAACTAGACTCGGCTCATCCAACATACACTACCTGCTCGTAAAGCCTTTTACTGTCTACTCTATAAAAATACAATTAAGTAAAGCAATAATGCAATCATCATAATATTTTTTACTTGGGTGCAAGTCAGACAAGAACACGATGGTTAGTATATTGATGTGCGGGTGTGTGTATGCACACGTACAGGTCGTCCGTTACCATTTTATTGCAACAATTGATTTGTATTGTTACAATACAGAACCTGATGAAGCACACTCATGTGAGGTTTACATGTCATACAGCAATTGTGTCATCTGAAAACTGGCAGTAGCCCCCCCTCCCCACTGTGGTCATTATAAACACATTCACATCTGACACTAAGCCCCTCCCCCCCTCCATCCACACTTGGGTCATTATGCACACATTCAAATCTGACAATAAGCCCCTCCCCCCCTCCATCCACACTTGGGTCATTATGCCCACATTCACGCTTGCAGTGACATTTATTGCTAATGTCACCCCAAACTCGCCAAGCAAGACGTTCAAAAAACACTCGAAGCTCCAAAAGGTGCATTAGCGCTGCCATGTTTGTGTGCCCAGGGATAGTGATCAGATCACAGACAATTACATTCGTTGTGCCATCGTTCTGCTGCTTTCTGATGTGGCCGCTGTCAAGCGATCGTTAACTTGAACGTTATGTGTTGGATTCCTGCCACAGGAATGGTAGGTTCCCGCCGCAGGAATCTCTAAAAGCACCTTTTTAACCGGTGTGACTTGTCTTCCAGTTTCCTTATGTCATTCCCAGTAGTGAAAAAAAACAAACATTACAGACCACATAAAGAAGTCCTCCAGGCAAAACCTATTAACACTTGCAGCAGGACTACCCCCACACAGCACAGGTTAAAAGAGAACTATAGCCAAACCTTTTTTGGGGGTCACAGGAGTATATTTACTAATGTATTCCTGTGGCCCAAAGTCAGCGTATTGTGGGCTATTGCCTTCTACATGCTGACGGCGTAGAGCCGCGCTGCAGCTGGGAAAGATCCCAGCAATATTGTTGGGATCCAACCCACTGCCTGATTGACAGCTGGCTCTGCCTCTCTAGAGCCAGAGCCAGTTGTGCCCACCCCCTCTCCTGTTTGTCCCTCCAGTCAGCGCTGGAGGAATAGAGAGTGACTGACCGTCACTGATCTGATTCTGGTCTCTGCTACACCATTAGAATGTAAATCTTATGTGATCCGGGTGGTGCTGACAGCAGAGCTGGCTTTAGATACACTTCACATGAGAAAGATTTGCCATCTATTATTGACACTGCAGAGTTTTGTCCGGGAGAAGCACTTCCATATACCAGAGCGTTGGTGTAAACATCAAACTATGCCATGGTGATAAACTATATCTGTAATAAGAGATTACCAACAAGTCGCCAATATCCAGACTTCAGTCTACATAGTGACGGGGAAACCTCGGACAGCAATTACAAGAATTATAAATATATAAAAATGTAAAAAAACAAGAACAGAGGATTGCAGTGTGCAATGATACCTTTCTCACTGGACTAACATCATATTTAAATAATATGCTCGTCCAATAAGAAAAGGTATCATTGCACACTGCAATACTCCGTTCTTGTTTTTTTACACACACACACAGAGATATATATAGATATACATCTATATATATCTATATGTGTGTGTGTTTT